TTTCCAAAAACGTTGTTTTCCTTTCTGGATATTCAAGCTCCAATAACTGTGTCGCTATTTTGCCCATAGCTACTATGTCCCATACCTTAGCGAACCACTGTTGGACATTGGGTATCCTCTTATTTAAACCATTTTTCCAAAAACGTTGTTTTCCTTTCTGGATATTCAAGCTCCAATAGCTGTGTTGCTATTTTGTCCATAGCTACTATGTCCCATACCTTAGCGAACCACTGTTGGACATTGGGTATCCTCTCTAATCTCTGCATAAATTAGTTTGCTCTGGAGCCATCCTTCCTGAGCTAGGACAAAAATGTGTGAGCTGGAGGCTAAAAAAACTGTGAGCTAGCTCACACTAACTCAGCCTAGAGGGAACACTGGTGGTCTCCCATCCACGTCCTGGCCAGGGACGACCCTGCCTAGCTTCCGAGATCTTCGGCGCAGCCACATCAAGGACTCCTTTTTCCCCCACTGATTCCCCCCCCCCCGGACTCTCAACCCCCAACATTCTCCCCTCTGCCCTAGATCGTGCCCTTCAGGTATCCCCTAGATTCTTCAAGATAATCCTTTTTGTCACCCTCCCCCCCGTATGGCTAAATCCCAGCTGGGATGCCTAGTTCAATTATCTTTCAACCAATGTTCCCTCTAAGCAGTGGAGTCTTGTGAGCAAAAATTCTACTTTGTGAGCTACCGGCATTAAACTTGTGAGCAAACAGTTTTGCTACTGCATCAGTTAGTTTGCTCTAGAGCCCTCCTTTCTGAGCGAAGGCAAAAATGTGTGAGCCGGAGGCTAAAAAACTGTGAGCTAGCTCACATTAACTCAGTTTAGAGGGAACACTGCTTTCCACGGGGAGGTTCCTACAGTGTTCCTTATAAGCAAGAGTTAGTGTGAGCCGGCTCACAGTTTTTTAGCCTCCGGCTCACAGATTTTTGTCTTTGCTCAGGAAGGAGGGCTCCAGAACAAACTAATTTATGCAGTGGCCAAATCGCTCGCTCACAACCTCGATGCCGGTAGCTCACAAAGTAGGGTTTTTGCTCACAAGACTCCACAGCTTTGAGGGAGCGTTGGGTTTCCCATGAGCTCCTTTCCATGGATTCCCATCTCACCTTCGGGGATCAAGTTGGAGGAGCGAAGGGGAAATGGCTTGGGGGGAGATGAAGGAGCCCTATTCTTGAGGCCAGGGCTGCCCCACTGGAGATGTGAACTTCTTGGCTCTTGGCAGACGGTGACGGTGAAGGAAGACCTGATCATGCAGCAGAACCCACCAAAGTTCGACAAGATTGAGGACATGGCGATGCTCACGTTCCTGCATGAACCGGCCGTCCTCTACAACCTCAAGGAACGTTATGCGGCCTGGATGATCTATGTAAGTCTTGAGACCCTTTACAAGTACATGCTGGGGTTACTCCTCCAAGAGGCGGCACTTTCAGCGGCGAAAAAGGCTAACTCTACGTTAGGGATTATTAGGAAAAGAGACTGAGACTAAAACAGCTGATGTTGTAATGCCCGTGTGTAGATCTATGGTGCGGCTTCAGTTGGAATACTGTAAGTCTTGAGTCTATGTAAGTCTTGAGACCCTTTACAAGTACATGCTGGGGTCACTCCTCCAAGAGGCAGCACTTTCAGCGGCGAAAAAGGCTAACTCTACGTTAGGGATTATTAGGAAAAGGGACTGAGACTAAAACAGCTGATGTTGTACTGCCCGTGTGTAGATCTATGGTGCGGCTTCGGTTGGAATACTGTGCACAGTTCTGGTCACCGTATCTCAAAAAGGACATGGCAGAGCTGGGGAAAGTGCAGAGGAGGGTGACCAAGATGATTAGGGGAGCCCGCTTGGTGTCGTGGTTAAGTGCGCGGACTCTGATCTGGGAGAACCGGGTTTGATCCCCCACTCCTCCACTCGCAGCTGCTGGGTGACCTTGGGCAAGCCATGGTTCTGTCAGAGCTGTTCTCTCAAGGACAGTTCTCTCAGAGCATTCTCACCCCCACCTATCTCACAGGGTGTCTGTTGTGAGGAGGGGAAGGGAAAGGAGTCTGTGAGCCGCTCTGAGACTCTGAGTGAAGGGCGGGGGTATAAATCCCATCTCCTCCTCTTCTTCTAGGGGGTTGGCGCGCCTCCCCTATGAGGAAAGGCCGAAGAGTCTGGGACTTTTCAGAGGAGAAAAGAGACGGCTAAAGGGGGACACAATAGAGGTTTATAAAATGATGCATCGGGTGGAGAGGGTTGACAAAGATACTGTTTTCTCCCTCTCCCCAAATAGTAGAACTCGAGGGCATCCAATGAAGCCGATGGGAAATAGGTTTAGGACAGGCAAAAGGAAATCTGACTTTAAACAGAGAGTGATTAAAACGTGGCAGTTGCGGCCAGAGGATGTAGTGATGGCCAGGGCTATTTTTGGGCAGGAACGCACAGGAACGGAGTTCCGGCTGGCATCCAAGTTGGCCACGCCCAGCAGGAACTCATTAGCATAATAGGCCACACCCAACAGCAGGAACTCATTAGGATTGGCTACATTAGGGGTGTGTGGCCTAACATGCAAAGGAGTTCCTGCTCCAAAAAAAGGCCATGGGTTTTGACAACAAGCAAGGTAAACAGGATAAGAAGCAAAAGGTGGGTGTGGCTGGATGAGCACACTTCTGGTAACATGGGGGTATGGCCTAATATGCCAATAAGCTGTGCTGTCAGGGGTGTGGCCTAATATGCTAGTGAGTTTCTGCTGTTGGGTGTGGCCTATTATGCTAATGAGTTCCTGATAGGCTTTTTCTACAAAAAAAGCCCTGGTGATGGCCATAAGAATACCCAGCTTTAAAGGGGGATTAGATAGAGTCATGGAGGTTAAGTCTATCAATGGCTACTAGCCATGGTGACTGTGGG